AAAAAAATCAACATTTCAATTTTTATAGCTTGTAAAAACAGATATATATATACCTTCATCTTAAAACGATAACTTTTTTATTGTTTAGATTAATTTGTATTCAAGTAAAGCACGATTTGGACTCCGACAATTCGGAATCCACTAAACTTTGTACAAAAAACAGAGATTTTGATTTTTCTGTCTCGTTTCTTTAACGACAGTCCCAGATATACCGTTATAAAAGCACAATAACAACTTATCTACTTGATTGATCAAATGGGAACAAAAAATCAATTTAGTATCAAAATCAAGGTGAACAATAACTAATAACATACGTACAGCCAAAAACAATACGTGATGGTGTTTTGGGTAATATGTTACAAAATATTTGCATAGCCACGATCGCCTCATAGAAACGATCATCAATGAACAAGGAAAAAAATTCATTTGTGTAACTCGTACGGCGTTTGGTGTACTCGCTAGAGCTATAGACAATAAAATGCCACGCTACGAAGTCACGGCGAGCATTAATTTGATCGATTCTTACTAAACGATTATTTGGCAATTGCGATTGCTCAATGGACGATATTAGTTTTCCCGCACTAATGAACAAAATCAATCAAGAATAACTGTAAATGTATAAGTGCGAAAAAATTAGTAGGTTATTATTGCTTGTTTAAAAGTAAGTTTGGTTCTTCGTATGAAACTATTCGATGTGACATTTCGCTACAAATTTATGTGTAATAAATATTGACTTTCCTATTGATTTTACAGTTAAGTCGTAAATAGATTTTGTAAAGGTCACCATATGCTGCATATACATATCAAATTTGAACAATTTTGGGCAAGCAGAAAAGCTCTTTCATTGCTTTTTCTGAATGAGAAATTCAGAAACCAATTATAATTCAAAAACTGACCTAGGAGACGTCATATTATTCTTCATCGTCTTGCTAAAATTACCGAGAAGAAAATTAATTTCCAGTTTTTATTTTAGTTGGCTTTATAAATTGATAAATCCATAACTCGATAAATCCATATATCAGTAAAGAAATAAATAAATAAATGTATTTCGTTCATAGATTTACATCCATCCCATAACTAAAGTTAACTAAGTTAAAAGTTATACATATAAGAAGAGTTACTTAATACTAACTATCAAGGCTTTTTTGAAACAGAGAAAAGCCTTTTCATTGCTTTTTCTGAATGAGACATTCAGCACGAGCGCTTAAATTATAATTTGAAAACTGACCTAGGAGTCGTTATATTTTTCATCGTCTTGCTAAAATTACCGAGAAGAAAATGAATTTTCCGTTTTTATTTTAGTTGATTCAATAAATCGATAAATCAATAAATCAATATATCGATAAATCGATAAATCGATAAATCGATAAATCGATAAATCGATAAATCGATAAATCGATAAATCGATAAATCCATAAATCGATAAATCAATAAATGTATTTTTGGACCTAAGAAATTACCGAGAAGAGAATTAATTTTTAGTTCTTATTTTAGTTAACTTTGATCAGGGCTTCTTTGAAACAGAGAAAAGCTTTTCATTATTTTTTTTAAATGACAAATTCAGACCGAGCGCTGAAATTATAATTTGAAAATTGACCTAGTAGTCGTTATATTTTTCATCGTCTTGCTAAAATTACCGAGAAGAAAATGAATTTTCCGTTTTTATTTTAGTTGATTCGATAAATCGATAAATCGATAAATCGATAAATCGATAAATCGATAAATCGATAAATCGATAAATCGATAAATCGATAAATCGATAAATCGATAAATCGATAAATCGATAAATCGATAAATCGATAAATCGATAAATCGATAAATCGATAAATCGATAAATCGATACATCGATAAATCGATAAATCCATAAATCCATAAATCCATAAATCCATAAATCCATAAATCCATAAATCCATAAATCCATAAATCCATAAATCCATAAATCCATAAATCCATAAATCGATAAATCAATAAATGTATTTTTGGACCTAAGAAATTACCGAGAAGAGAATTAATTTTTAGTTCTTATTTTAGTTAACTTTGATCAGGGCTTCTTTGAAACAGAGAAAAGCTTTTCATTATTTTTTTTAAATGACAAATTCAGACCGAGCGCTGAAATTATAATTTGAAAAATGACCTAAGCAAAATCTTGTTGATTTAATCTAAATTTCTTATTTTAGACCCCATTTCGATTCCTGTACAATTAATCAAATATCAAAGCATCATCAATTTATGAAAAGTTTATTTTTCAGCCCGATTTCACCAAATGTGACAAAAACTCGAAAAATGGGACGGCGCTGAAAAGAGGCTTTAACAACCTTTCAAATGATGTGCTACTCGACCCTCATTACATTTAAGGTTTTAAAGGTGGATGTCACCCCCGCGTGAGGTTTGAATTAGGGGCTTCAAAAATAGTCGCATCTTATTAGCCCTTCGAAAATAAAGTTGACGTGTTTCACCGTTTTGTCCTTTTCACACCAGAAATGCCTTTAAATTGCCTTGTTTCGTTTGAACTGAGAGACCCTGTATATTATTTATTAATTTACATTATGATAAACCTATAGTATCCCATCTACCATTATCCCAGGATTGACGAGAATCCTTAAAATCACAATGGCACCCGGACATCTCAGGCCCACTCCGACCCTGGTAACGGCTTTATTTTTAATATCTGAAAATGGAAAATTTCACACCGGCATCATCATCATTAACCCTTCTCAATGTTTTGTTAAAAATTTCCGAAATGGATCTAGTTTTTTTATATATCTCCGGTCCATATCTTACAAAATCGTTATGCTAAAGCTGCCGGTAAATCAATGAAACGAAACCTGTTCTGACGTTTCGGGTTGAATGGTAGAACAAGTTTGCTTTGGGATAGTCCTTGATGGTCGAAGTTCACCTTACTTACATTTTTTTTGCTCTTCGCATTTCCGATTTTCAAGTAAGGAAATGTACCAGACATCTGAATCGCATCATGGTAAAATCCGGAATACCTGTGCAACCATATGACCACATACGAATATTTTATTGAAAAGACAGGAATTTTAATCTAGTAGACTTCGTTTACAGTTTAACTTGCATTTGCTTATATTTAATACCATTTATAAGTTCATTATACTTTATTTATACAGGGTGGATCTCTAACTCGAAATAGCTTCGGTAAATTAAAAACATTTACGTATTTTTGGAGTCAAAATAAGTTAATTGGACACAATTTATCGCAGTCACAAAATAAATCCAAAAAATTATGAAATTTATTGTCAAAAATCAAATTCAAAAGCATAGACTCAGTTCATAAACAAAATGTAAACGTTTCTGCTGTCTAGATTGGAAAATTTTGAGTTCTCGCGTAAGATTTTTTTTTGTGTGAGGGGTAAATGTTTTAAAATGCCCGAATAACTGTACCAACTATTGAAGTTATACTGTATTTCTAAAACCGAGTAACGAATCTTCATACCCAACATTAATTCTTCATTTTAATCCCTAAGGGAGCGAAGAGCGAGATATATGCCTCTAAAAACAGCAGTTACGTACTATAATCTTTTTCGGGGACAAATTTCCAGAAATCATTTTTTATTGTCCCATTACGTCACTTCGGGAATTTTTGTGCAAAATTCGTGCTTCTAGGTTAAATGGCTTTGGTTAACAAGTCAGTTTTCATATATATCTTGAATATCTTTTACTTGAGATTTTTTTGTGCATAATTTGTTGGAATTTTTGGAATTACCCAAATATTAACGAAAATGGAATCACCCAAATACTATTCGCAAAAGCAGAACATCGATAAAACAATAATGCTATTAATTACATCAAGATTTGTCTAATAGTTGCTTGAGTGTTTTTTTATTAATAAGATTATCTCAGGAACTCCAGTGTTGATTATGAGTCTATTTTTTATTGAGGATAAAATTTTAGGTAAGATTATTGATGATGGACAAAAGAAAAAAAACTGGCTACTTTAAAATGTCTTGTACAAGGTCGTAAATATTTTGCTGATATTCTCGTTAACTAGGTAATAATTAAATATTAACTTATTTTTTATTCCATCCATTAACGACAAGTTTAGAGTGTGCTGATTTAAAAATATTTAATTTATAGTTAGTTTAAGTAGGTAAAGAACTTAAAGTGAATATTTAATGGGATAAAATTAAATTTTATAGGTATACTATGTAGCACGGTGTAGTGTTTTGGCAACCCATTGGCATACTTAAAACGTAAATCTGAAGAGAAATAAATGGTAGAAAAAAGAAAAAAAACTTGATCTACTAGAGTTTCAAACAGGAACTAAACATTTGGAGGATTAAAAAGTACATAATAATAGTTATTTTGAATGTTTTAGAAAATGATTCGATAATTACACTAATTAATAAATTAAATAATGGAGCTTATACAGCGTTTTTTTTACTTGCGCACCTTTTTTCTGTTTCAAACTTGGGTTGCCTATCTAGAAGCATATTGTTTGGACATTTTTCTAATTACAAATATCTTTCTTTAAGCTATATTTTTATTCTTTTATTATGTATTCTATTAATTTTAATTGTATTTGTAAGCTTCATTCAGAACCTCCAAATTAGTAGAATAAATTAGTGGTTTCAATTAGCAGTAGAAGTTTGTTCCTCTAATTTCAATGTAAGCATTCAGAACGTCAAAATTAGTGGTAATAATTTTAAAAAGTTAACAAACTTTTAACTTTTCCACTAATTATACTTTAAAATTAGCGAAGGTTGTCATTTTATACTATGATTAGCTTTAGACATTTTGAATGATCGTAATTTTTTAAGTATACAGTATAATTGAAACCACTAATTTATTCCACTAATTTTGATGTTCTGAATGAGGCTTAGAATTTAAAATAATTTTAATTTTACCATTTTTTTTTATTCTGAAGTATGTAACTAACTATGGAGTGACATGAACGGAGTAAAATAAATAAAATATTTTATTAATAAATTCTCTTAAATAAATCTGCAGATAACTAAAGATAATTCTGTTTTTTTTTTCAGATGGCAGCATTACTACGTTTTGTATATAATGGATATAGGGATGTAATGGACAATTATAGTGGTGAGTAATCTAATGTTAATATATACAACAATACATAATACAAATAAAATACCCCTCTTAGTAAAATAAGCACCCTTAACGTCTTTTTTTGTCATACAGTATAAACACCAGTGCAATGAGACATTTATCAAAATTTAAAATTCTGTCAAGTTTTTTCAACACACTATACAGAGTGGTTCGAACTGTATTCCGGTAACTTCGGCATCAGATACTGCAGATAAAAATAATTAAAACAGTTTGTATAAATGTTTGACCTAAAATGTAAGTACGTAGTAAGTAACGTCAATATTTGGATAAAAATTGGTGCGTGGGAGTTTTTTGACATGAGAAATTTGATTTTTATGTCAATATGACCCCTACTTGTAGAGGGCGCCACCTACACATTTTCTAACTAGTTTCAAGGGTAATAACTTTTTGTACCTGTTTAAAACTACTGAGCAAAAAATCTCATGTTAAAGATCTCCCAGACACCAATTTTCATCTAAATATTGACGTTATTTCACAATTTATTAAGAAAAAAATGGAAATAAAAATGAAACTTCTACACCCTGTGTCTCAGAAACTAAGCATTTTAGGACATAAATTTATAAGAACTTTTGCTGCCGAAGTTTTCGGAACACAGTTCGGACCACCCTGTATAAATAGAAATTCAAATAAAATATTATCGCACATTACGTCCTTAATAAATTTTTTGCAACTTTAAAACTAAACTAACTTGTAAAAACTGAAGTTTGACTTATTTTTCAGATCCTAGAGTAAAAGACTGGTTTTTGATGAGTTCACCATTCCCTACATTATTCATTTGCCTCACCTATGTATATATTGTAAAAAGACTAGGTCCAAAACTGATGGAAGACAGAAAACCATATCAGTTGAAGAAGATATTAATTTACTATAATTTGTTTCAAGTAATTTTTAGTTGCTGGATATTTTATGAGGTAATTACAAATTATTATTATTATTGTTATTGTTATTGATTTTTATCATAGTCATATTTGTTAAATTTTACATTTATTAATTTAAAAACCCACAATAAGTGCGACCAAAATATAAATATTTAAAAGCTCTCATAAATTTAACATACCTTTGCGATGTCTATTTTCAACATATAATTATTATAAAACATATATAATTACTAAGTAATAATTAGTTTTAATAAATACACATGTGTGTAACCTATCAACGAATCGAAATTTTATAACATTAATATTATTAAATAGTTTGTGTATAATGTGTTCCAATAAATAATCATATCAAAATATTATCAATTATCTCATAAACAATAATTTTTCCATTTCCATATTTTCCATTACGTTTAAAGTTTTTGAATAATAAAGCTGAAAATAGTAAACTATCATTAATATTACTAGTTTAACTACCAATCAACAATAAAAGTAGGTTTGAATATCGGAAATATTGACGAAAATGTATTTTTTAACGGGTTTGCAAATTAATATACAGTCTCTATAATAGTCACTTCTTTAAAATTCCGCCTACCAATACTTGCAATCTTGTTTGATGTATACAGGGTGGATGAAAACTAAATGATGTATTTTTCTCCACTATTTTAAATGGAACAGCCTATATTTGATGTCGTCTTCAAACAAATTTTTGTCTAATCTTTTTGTTGTGCGTTCCCAATGCTTCCAAATTACGTCAAAAATAGAAATGAAAATCACAATACAAAGACCTAATATAAAGTTTTATTGAAAGTCTGGGCCACCCTGTATTAGTCTGAGAACAAGAAATACAAAACGGTTATAAATAAATAAATTATTATGGAGGTGCTAAAGATAATTTGCCGTGTATTTTGAATAATTTAGCGAAATTCATGACATCTGTTTCATCCTCTTTTTTCTGTTTTTATTTAGGCAGCAGCTAATGCTTGGCTTAATGATTACAGTTACCGATGCGAACCTGTAGATTATTCAAATTCGCCGCGAGCCTTAAGGGTAAGTTTTTATTCAAGTTTTTATTCGATTAAACATTAATAAACTAATGAAACGTTAACCGGCCTAGATTACTTTACTAAAAACACCTTTTCCGCAACCAGTTTTGTATAAAAATAAAAAATATAACTATATTAACTGGAATATAACATGGTTATTTTAATATATGTTATTTAAGTTTAGTTATTATTATTTAATTATGAATTGAAGCTTAATAATTGTGAAATAGTTTACATACCGTAATAAAGCATATATCACCGATTTCAATGAAAATACTGGTGAAAAATTGCGGTACTACAGAATCTGCTAGAGGCTTGTTTTCTGGACCTTAAAAGAGAAATATCGGGTGTTATTAACTTATTTTAACTTTTTTATTTTTTTAAGACAAAAAAGCGAGATCGGTATTTACTCAGTATACAGGGTGTCCCAGAAATAAGTGCAAGTATTTTAAGGGGTGGTAGATCTCGATATAAGAAATATATTTTCTCATTATCGTTTTTCAAATAAGTCCAAAATAACGGAGTTATTTTCCTTTGAAAATTTCCAAAAAAAATTATATTTTGTTAAATTTTTGAGAACCACTGGAAATTTAATCTAATACTAATGTTGTCATATTATCAAGAAATTATGGTTTTTAACTAAAAGCTACAAAAAAATTAAACATTTTTTTTAAAAAATTTCGAATTTTCAATTTTTTTTTTCGCGAAAGAAACCTCATAGGTGTGTTTCAGGGGTTGAACTATACTACCAGTTAAAACACTTGCACTTATTTCTGGGACACCCTGTATAAATCAGGATTGATTTATTCAGTTATTTTCGGTCACTTCCTGTTTCACCGGAAATGACTACAACTTATGATTTTTAAATGGTACTCCTTGGTATACTTTTACTTTATTTGCTACTTAGAAAATGACATTCTGAATAAAATAACATATCATATATCAACTTTTGACATTTTTGCTTAAAATAAATAGTACCTATTTTAAATTTCAATCTAGAGTCAATGGCTGGGTTCATAAGGAGAATTTGAATCGAAATACCAAGTACATATGTGGTACTAAAAAATTTTTCTGTAATGAATGTAAATGTAATGCGATGGTGGTCTCAATTCTTATTCTTTTCAACATATACGATATATCTTCAAACGACAGCTTTTTTCCGTCCAGAAATTCCTAATATTAGAAAATTTATCATAATCTTTAAATTAACATACATTTTGTTCTTAATGGAAACTTTGGTTTCGATTTTGAAAAACTGGTTTTCTAAACTAATTTTTGTAAATTATGCATCCGTAATGTTTCAGATAGCCCGAGCATGCTGGTGGTACTATTTTTCCAAATTTACGGAATTTTTTGATACGGTGAGTATTTTTTTTAATATAACAAAGATTCCTTCCAGATAAATCAACATATTTCATTCCTTTATTTTTAAAATGACATTCAAAATATTTTCATTCAATTTTTGTATAATATATAATTTTAAATTGATTCTTATAGGTACCATTTTTCTAGTATTTATTCATTCTTTAAAGTATATTATACCTACGTATATTTCCTTTCATCTTAAGGGTCGTTTAGACTCTAACAATAATATTTTCATGGTAATAACTGTTATTCTCATGAAATTCATCTTTTTTTGTTGTTAGTACAGGAATTTGATTTGTTGATTATTCATGTTGGCTTGTAATAACAAGCAAATGGTTAGAATAAATTTGAATGAAAATTAATACACCTATTAAGACAAAAATTGGGATTATGTACCAGGTTATTACATACATATTCCATATTTAGTCGATCAACTTAATTAAAATGAGACTGCTCATACAATTAATTTGAAGGTCTATATACCAAGACAGTGAGTTAGTTAAAACCGAATTAACAATAAATAAAACAATAAGGAAAAAAGAAGAATCGCTTTTTACTATACCCTTCTTGAAAATTATAATTTTAATAGTCTTTATATAGTACCGTCTTAGTGTTATTTTCGTATTGTGTTATGAATTCTAATTAAATAGATAAATAACTTCAATCCTATTAGCCATAAAGTACACCATTAAAATGTTTACTGTTTTGAGTGGGCTTAAGGAAATGCATCCATGTTTATAACTATACAGGGTGAGTCTTAAATAAGTGCAAATATATTTTGAGGGGTAGTATATTTCGACCCCAGAAACACGATTATTTATGAGGCTTTTTTGCGAAAAAAATCATAATTTGGAATCTTTTGAATAATTTGTTGGATTTTTTTTTAGTTAGAAAACATAAGTTCTTTATAATATGGCTACATAGGTAGTAGACTAAATTTACAAGAAAGAAAACCCACAAAAGATTCAGTGGTTCTCAAAAATTAAGCAAAAAATAATTTCAAAGTAAAATTACTCGGTTATTTTGGACTTATTTGAAAAACGGTAAAGAGAAAATATTATGTGTCTTTTATCGAGATCTACCAGCCCTGAAAATACGACCTAAAAGTTTTATTAACAAGTGTGTTTTGACGGTTTTGACTTTGAAAGTTGAAAAAAGTAATTATTTTTTTCGAATTTAAGCTTTGCCAGTGGACCACTTACGACTGGCAAAGTATGAGGGCGGGGGTAATTTGATGGGAGTTTAGACCTTTTATTGATGCCAGATTGACTGTACTATTCATTACATATTTGTATTTAAAATGTTGACTATAATGGTAATTTTACAAAAAATAATTTGTTTTCCATTCGATTTAATTAGCCTTCGAGTAACATTGCTTTTCTTCTAAATCAATATTTGTCTAAATAAAATCTCTATAATCGACCTTGCATTTAGAAACACCGGAATTACTATTATTATTTGATTATAGCATTTATGAATTCATAGAATGAATTCTGTAAACTTTGCTTTTATGAAGACTATGTAATACGTAGAATACATTTTTTTGAATCCCTTAAAACAAAGTTCGATCCCATATTTGTTCAAATCTTAACACAATTTTATTATTCTTCAAATATGGAATTAATAGATATTTTAACTAGAATAATATACTTTAGACTATGATAATATTTTTAATTAGTTTTTTATTTCAGTTTTTCTTTGTCTTGAGGAAAAAGTATGACCACGTTTCAACGCTCCACGTCATCCATCATGGAATTATGCCAATGTCCGTATGGTTTGGAGTGAAATTCACACCAGGCGGCCACTCTACCTTCTTCGGCTTCATAAACACCTTTGTCCACATTGTGATGTACTTTTATTATTTCGTCGCAGCTCTCGGACCTCAGTACCAAAAGTACTTATGGTGGAAGAAATACCTGACAGCATTCCAAATGGTATAGCTATTAGTTAATTGTTAATTTAAGCATGCTTGTTTTATTTAAAATAATATTTAGAGTGTGATCCAAGATTACCACCTTTTAAATTGATAGGTCCCATTTTAATAATATTTTTGTGGATATATTATAGGCTAATTCGAATATTTTTATTTTTGTAGTTTTTATTACAACTAAATCTAGTATTTTTTTCTTTTTAGATTTGTCATAAAATTCTCAATATAAAAATAACGTATCTAGTAACAGGTACTATGATATCAAAATCTATATTTAGTCGTTTTTAAATATAACCATTAAAAAAACATTAATTGCTAAATTTTCTACTCATTAAAAACTCTTACAAGATTAAAAAATGGTAAATTCCCTTTATTGTTTTGAAATCTTAGAATACTAAATACATTACTTGTGTTGTAGTTACTTGAAATTTATTTGACGTTCCTAAAAGTGTTTGAAATTTGCTTCCAATTTAGACTAATTATAATTATTATATATCACCACTCTAAACACTTTTCGAACCCTCACAGACGCTCTGGTATTTAATTTTATCTACAATGAATTTCAGCATATTTTTTTCTAAATGAAAATGTCCTCCCGAGATACAGTTCTGCCTTGCATTTTGCTCTTTTGTGCAATAAATAAAAAGCAAAATCAACGGTTACTTAATAGAAGCAAATACAAAAGATTGGCTTTTTTAAAGGAAATAATTATTCCCAGGTCAATTTGCTTGCTGATTTAACAGATTTGAAAAATAGGATTTTTTAACTGGTTTTAACTACCTAAAATTGGACGACGAAACTTACTTTGAACTATTGAAAGTGATGTTAGAAAAACTTCCACAGTATGTATAGCGACATCTTGCCTTACGGTGGATGAGATAGTAGATATAATAGTAGAGACTAGCTTTATAAGCAGGAATAATATGCTCAATGAAGTAAAAAAGATCACTATAAACAATCTATTCTCTAAAATAATTCTTGCATTTACTGCATCAAAAATTTTATTACACTATCAATAATTATATTAAATGATCTCACCCCAACATTAAATATTTGAATGTATTTTCTGATAATAATAAAAATTTATATTTCGTAGTACAGTGACAAATCTCTTTTTCACTAATTAATTTTTGTTATAAAAATGATTTATTGAATAATTAGCGAATCTTTAATATTCGCTAATTAGTGAGTATTAATTTAATAATTATTGTTTTACTATTTTTAAGCAAACCTTTATAATATATTTTTGGTGTCTGTCACTTGGAATATAATTATTAGATTATAAAATAACAAGGAATAAAGACTTTATCTTCAATCAAAGCTAACATGTTCATCGGAGTTTTTTCATTAATTTGATCATACATAATTAAAATTCTGAAATATAATAGATAGTTAATTTTTGTTTTCTATTATACTATACGATCTAAAAATAAACGGCATCAGAGACGACTGGAAAATGACAATGGATGATAATTTTGGTAAGGTTTACATTTTCTATAAAAAGTAATTAACAAAAAAGCTTAAAAAGGCTTAAAAGTTAAGAAGCAAAAAAGTCCCACTTTTATAAAAAGAGAAGGCAGTCGTATTTTTGAGAAATAATAAGTATCTTATTATTAGATATTATAGGTATTACAAAGAAATAATTAGATATTACACAGTTTTATAGAATTCTGATAACGAATTTAAATAAAGATCTTCAATACATTACACGATTTTTACAACTAAATAATTTTCCACCAAGGATATCTACTATAACTGCATGTCTTGTGCAACACTTGCCGAGGTAAATATATGGAAAATAAAAATGAAAATGCATATTTTGTTGGTTTAATTCGTTATTTCCGCAAAATTTGAGATTTGAATAAAAAGAAATAGAGATTTTGATAAAAATACGATTTGTGCATCTTTTAACCGGCAAGGACAAGACACGAAAAACATTAGACCATCAAATCTATTTTTCCAAGGCTCCTTGATTGAAGATTAGTATTTTTAACATAGCCATGGCACTCTAGTTAAAAAATACGTTTTTTTAAACCACAATGTCAAAAGTTGACATACGATATGTATACGTCAATCAATCCTAATTTAGTCATATACTAACATACGAGATCTCGTTTTTTATCTGAAAAAATCAAAAAGTTATAAGGGTGGGCCACTTTCGAGACGCACCCGGTATATTTGCATACCGGGTGCGTCTGCAGTAGCTGCATATTTATTAAGTATTCCTTTAGATTAGATTTCTCATTCTGAGAATCAATTTCCTGATCCAGGGATTATAGGTTCTTATCCCGGAATTTCACGACGGGATCCTCATCCCGAAAATTGGAAACGTTAATTGTAGTCATATCTGGTGAAACAGGAAGAGAATGAAACTAACTGAATACGTCCAATCAATCCTCATTTATGTCATATACTAACGTACGAAATCTCATGGAGTGAGCCACTTTTGAAAAACACCCGGTATATTCATTCGATATCGCTGTGGCATTAAAAATCTTGACATTTTACCAATACTTATGAAATATACAATTTAAGAGGAGCGGAGGATTTTTGCTTATGCAAAATACGCATTCCCAATATTTTTTCGTCATTTCATGTTTCATGTACAGAAAGTGAATTCAAATGCCTTGAAATTTAAAGCGTGATATTTAATATTAATACCATATAGTCTCAATTTTGATACAGGGTGATTTTTATAGTGAAACAAAGTAAAACATCTATATTTTGCACGGACTAACTTATACAGGGTGTCCCAATATTTGGCGGACATAGAACTACTTCGTATTTTTGAAATTAAAATAAGTTCATTGGACACAATTTACCTCTATACAAAAGTGCTTTCTTTGTTCGCATCAGGCATCAAACTTATAAAAAATAAATACATTTTTTCAGATATTTTAAGGACCGTTATTTCCATTTGAATGAGATCTTGGGTTTGGGTTTTGAGTGTCTATGTTTTGCTAAGTGCTTTAATATTTGACTTTCACAAAAATCTCTCTTGACAGGTAATAAACATGAAAAAAAATGCAAGACCGCAACTGTCTTACGTGCTTGGTATTGGTCTTGCGAAAGTCTTGCACTTGAAGTCTTGGTCTCGGTCTTGCACATGAAAAAAAAAGCAAGACCAAGACTAGTCTCGCTCATCACTAAAGGGACTATATCGTCTACTAGTCCTAAATTATATATTTATATGAACTACTTAGGTGGTTGAAACTTTTAGTAGTTATATTTTAGTTATATAATTTTTCTTATTTTTTATTTACTTATTTCAGGTACAGTTTGTTCTCGTTATGCTCCATGCTTTCCAACTGCTCTTTATTGAATGCGACTATCCCAAAGCATTTGTTTGGTGGATCGGTATGCACGCGGTTATGTTCTATTTCCTTTTCTCCAACTTCTACAAAGAAAGCTACATCAAAGGCAAGAACAAGAAAGCTAAAATACAGGTTAGTAGAATTTTTTTTTGATAATATCCAGAAATATATTTCAGTTTAAGTTAGTTTCGTTTATTTTAAAAAATTTACCTATGGCATCGTTTCAATAGATTTGCATATAAGCTGAATTTTTGTATGCATTGATGGAAAGATTGTGTATGTATGTTAATTGATACTTGGGTAATTGTGTAGTTAACCAGGTATTTTAAAAACTAACTATAAGCGCCGTTATTTTGAAAGGCTCCGCATATTTTTGTAGTTTTTTCAAGAATGGGTGGATTCTTTTAAAATAACAGGTCATTAGTTAGTTTGCTAAGTTTCTGGTTAGTTTTAAAACTTGCCAAGTACCCATTTTAGCCGTAAAATATAATATAAAGTCTATATCGAATGAGTCAAAGATTTCAACATATTACAACCAAAAAAGAACCAGGGATCCTCTTATTAGACAGATTATACACTATAAGAAGTTTTAGTCATATAGATACATCTTATCAAGAATAGTATACCCTATCAAATGTCAGAGTGTTATTGATATATTATTTAATTTGATTTTCTTTTTTCCAAGGCAAATGGAACATCCAATGGTACCTCACCCAATCAGACAACGAAAAATGGAAAATCCCAAATTGGCATATGCTTCACATCACAAACGGCCCTGTACGAAGATGTAGATTCTAAGAAAATGTCTAACAGCTACACGACAACATCGGACTCTCAACTGAGAAACAGAGCATTTTTAGATAGTGCAAAAGCAGATAGAAAATCGTAGTAAAAATCTCAAAAATGTAGCTATTTCCAAAGACTTTTTTTGGTACGCTACAGCCTTAGTAAGAGTTCAGGAAAATGTGATTTGTCCAGAGATAGAGATGGGGTAGTTCCAAGTCTCCTTCACATCTCTGGCTTTGCCTTTATAAAGTACATTAGGTTTAGGAGTTTAGAATAGAGTATTTTTTCTTGTAATGTTAAATTATATGAAAAGTGTATCTTTTATATTGTATTAGTTTGAGAAAAAACGATGGTATGTAATATTTTTATATATGTAAATTAGTGGTTGTGACATTATTTCCCAACAGACTGGGTTATAACATTATGACGTCATTTTGACATAATCTAAATTATGAAATGCGTTATTTTAATTTAGTGTAAAAGTACCTAGTAGTCAGGTACATATTATAGTCCGATCGAGATCTTTAAGCCTGTAGAGAGATTTCTGAGACCTGCAGAATGGTACTGAACATTTCGCAGCACTTGAGAAATGTATTTATTATTGGGTTATCCAAAAAAATCATCTAGACAACAAAAGTAGCCAAGTCAATCAATAAAAACTCTTTATGTTTGCAATTTCTCTCATTAGCTATATTTAAAATTTGCTATAAACAGTTTAAATGTCAATATTAAATATAATTCTCTAAGCAGTGTCAGTCAAACTCAAAAACTAGCAAAGATGACCAGCTGGTAGTGAATAGCTGTAGTAAAATAGGCCGCGTAAAGTTGAAAATTTAAGATAGGTCTAATAAACAATCTAAAAATAGAAACAAAGAAGAAGTAAATCTGAAAATAAATAATGTATAGAACATAAAAACAAAACTGATTTTTATTTTACTCATTAAGCCTTCCTAAGAGGTAAAGGGGCAGTCTAAGTTAGTTTCCCTCTATAACCGTCAAAAAGTATAATTGAAACCAATAATTTATTCTACTACTATATGGGGCCACGTTTTGTGTTTAAAACACGATCAATAAAATAGTTCATTATAAATCAGTAATCATACTTAGGGTAACCGAAATTAACAAACTGTCTATATTTAAGTATGATGTCTTGTATATATTATATTAGAAACAATTATCCTGTAGATTAATGATATTTTTTATAATTATTTAAACATGGAAAATAAATAAGTTGATTTGGTGGTTTATTAATACTATTGATTTTATTTATTTAAATTGTCCCTTGCTTTTCATTCGTATCCTTCTAGTATTTTCCAACTTTAAAAATATAACAAAACCGGCAACAATTTTCTTGCTAAATATTTTTATTCAAAAAAAGACATGGAGCAGAGGTATTTTAGCAAAATTATCAATATCTACATATAAAAAATGCTAATGTTTATCTGTGTCGTCTCTACTGAAGTAACGACTTGCTCTAGAAAGTTGCTTTATTTTACTAAAAGATAGCTAAAAAGCTGGCTCTTCTAAAAACTGTCGTCGAAGGATTTTTTGTTTTTCATTTAAAAAAATAAAAATAATTTCTATTTCCTGATATCGTGGCGGATGCGCCAGGCTTCAACTAGTATTGATAATAAAAGTTTTAACATATAGAGTTAACCATAATATATGGCGTTAACCATAAACCGTGTTTTAACCATAATGTTGATGATGGTGGTCAAAAGACATTGGATGACAAATTAGAAAAAAAAAACTGTTATGTAGCTTAACTGTAGGGGGTGCCAGCACTGCCAGCTACATCATTTTCAACTGGTTTGAAAAGTAATAACTTTTCGTCCGTATCTGTATAAAATTAGTGAGTTTAAAATATACATTTACGACGTTTTTTACGTAAAAAAGGTCTCTTGGTTCAACAGAACAAAGTTCAACAGAAACTGTTTTTTTGTTTTGAACAAAGTTCAACAGAAACTGTTAATTATACTGATTAATTTAATAATAAACTTTTTCCAAATTTATTATTTCAGTGAAAAGGTAAGGAAATAACTATCTACTCAACGTGTTTAATAGTTTTTTTTCAGTAATGACATGTATATTGACTATTTCCATTCTAAATATCTTGAGAACGGTTGCTCGTAGTGATTTTTACCAAGAGACATTATTTTTTACGTAAAAAGTCACGGAAATGTACATTTTTTCACCCAGTAGTTTTATACAGGTACGAACGAAAAGTTATTACTCTTTAAAACAGTTAAAACACATGTAGGTGGCGCCCACTACAAATAGGAGTCATATTGACACCAAAATACAATTTTTTATGTCAAAAAACTGCCAGATACCAATTTTCATCCAAATATTGACGTTATTTTTGAAATTATTTGGAAAAAATCGAAATAAATATGAAACTTCTACACCCTGTATCTCCGAAACTAAGCATTTTAGGACATACATTTATACGAATTTTTTTACTTATTTTTATCTGCAGAATATGCTGCCCAAAGATATTTTGATTCTGCCGAAGTTTCCGGAATACAATTCGGACCACCCTCTATATTTTATCTCTTTCTTTTACAACAATCTTCGGTCTCATATCCTGATCTTTACTGGTCATAATAAAAATAATAAAATAAATTGAGTTTTTTTTAATTAAACCAATGCAATTATACTTAAAGTACAAATTTTGAAAGATCTCAAGTGAGATTAAGAGGGTGGGCAGAGAAGGTCCAGACAAATTTCACATCTCACCAAAGGGGAGGCGGAGGTCAAAGAGTTCTCAAAATCGCCTCTCGAAATGTATTGACGTAAGTTTAAAATAACCGAATTATTTTACTTCGAAAATTAAAAAAAAATTATTTGCAATGTTAAAATTGCAAAAACCACTGGTATCTATTCTAGGTTTTCTCTCTTGTAAATTTAATCTCCTGCTTATATTGCCGTTTTATCAATATATTATTTTTTTTAGCTAAAAATAAACAAGTACAATATTGTTGATTAACAACACACAATTATCTATTTAAAAAAAAATCCTTCGCCAAATTGTCACGATTCACAATTTAAAACGGTGTATTTTCAAAATTCAAACTCTCTCAACTGCCGATCGCGCTCGCCTTTTTATACTTTACCGTTTCTGGAACCTTCTAAAATTATCGGTAGCTTTCTTCCTCCTACTAGTAAATTCTATTGGCGCCTGATTTGCTTTTCTACTTGGCTAAGAAATAGCGCCTCAACAACAATGTCCTTACATAATCCTCAACCAGCAATACACTTGCGTTTGTTTCACTTTTCCAGGAGATGGCGCCACATACAGCTTGACAGTATTTTTCAAAAAATACCAACCCATAATACCAACTCTTCACATTTTTTACATACCAACCCTAAAAATATTTGCACTTAAATAAGTGCAAGCCACACTCCTAAAAACGGCGTATCGGCGTAACGGCGTAACGACCTTGAATCGATTTCCAGTAATTCTATTGGCTGAAATTTTTGACAGATGAATTTGACAGATAAAATTTCTAACAGATGAATGTTTCAGCCAATAGAATTACTGGAAATCTATTCAAGGTCATTACGCCGTTACGCCGATACGCGTTTTTAGGATAGTGTGGCTGCACCCTAAGACTCACTCTGTATATGATATAATAATGTGACAATGTATATGATATAATCGTGAATGTATATGATATAATCGTTGTAGTAAACATAAATCTGCATTATTTTTGAATTCGTATTAATTGAATATGTGACGGGATTTAGCGAAAATTTCCTATTTTTATCATTCCATTAATTTTTACATAAATTATGCAGCTCTATGTCCTATGTCTAGTTGGTAGGTAAAAGGTGAAGATCATAGTCCTATTAATTTTAAAGCACAAATAAGCAATGTTCGTCGATTATGTTTATTTTACTTAATTACCTTAATACAACATACAACTGCATCTTATGTACGTAAAACTTATATTATTTTTACGTCACAGGAGGTGTACGTTATTATCTAATTATGCAATAGTAATTGTGCCTACTATAATTATCCGTTCAATATAATGAGATTTTATTTTTTTTAATTGTAAAAGTATATTTTTAGATACATACTCGATAGTTCATAGCATTGACTAATTCTTATAGCTTTCCTTACAAAGCGCTTTTTCGAATTAATGGTGAATGCGACAGACTCGGCAATGTTCGCTCAATTATTAATAATTCCTTTTAAAGAGAACAATATCCAGAGACAGTCCACAAAAAAGTTCCATAAAAAAAATTATTTTGTATATTTCCATACTTAAATTTATTTTTTAAAATTTAACCCTTAAAGGTTGATTCTCACTACTCACTACACCTTCCGTATCAACTACCTTCCGTTTACATAAAATATGATATCATGTAAATGAATAGGACAACGCACTATCCGTTCCGTTTCCCTTCCGTTCCATATCCTTTCCTTCCATACATTTTTTTGGCCGACGGACTAATTCGTATCGGAAACAGCGTTGTCAAATTCTTACATTTGTACCAGCTCTGTTTTGCTGATATTTTTTTATTCTTTTACCTTTTAATTAAATCTATTAACTTTTTCAAAAGCCTTACGTACAAACGGAAGCTTACGTGCACAATAAAAAATACGGAACAGATATGGAATGGAAACGGAAGGTATAGTGAGAATCTTAAAATAAAAATAGCAAAGTACAACGATTTAGAGAATGCTCTCAAAAATTAATTTAAAAAGACCGGACCATCCAGTATATCCCTCCGCAAAGATCAGATGTGGATGTCTAAGAAAATGATTATTTATTACCCATTAGGACAATGCAGGGGCGTAGATAGGTGTATGCTATGGGGGTGGTACTATGATTAAGTCGCAAAAAAAATCACCGTCGGAATTTTTTTGTCGAACTAAAACGACGGCGATTTTTTTGTCTTCAAAAAGATATAAAAAACATAACACAAAAAATTAAAATATAGATTTGTAAATAACATAAACAAAAATGAAACAACGACGTTTATTAGTTAATTTTCTATAAACTATAAAAAACTCTAAACTATCAAAAAACTATAAAAACTATAAACTATAAATAAAACTACAAAACAAGATCAAGTTTTCTAGTACGCTGTTTGGAAAACCTATCAATAACAGCATCAACATTTATTTCAATATCTTTATGGATATTGATTAGAGTTAACCCCACTAATCTGTCCTGGTTAATAAGAACACTTTTGTGCTTTTAATTAGGTCGAACATATTATAAACGATAAATCAACATAATTAAAAGCATACAAAGTGTTCTTATATGTCGGATTTTAATTTAAAAAAATCCTTTCATAGTCAATGACTATTTCAATTCTCGTATCTTGTCAAGCGTCAGGGGGGGTACTGTCCCCCAGTACCCCCCCCCCCTTATCTACGCCCTTGGGACAATGGCATTGAAATTATATTACATTAAATTCAATACAATCCAAGATTTTTTAGCAAATTATAATAAGTCGGGATGATGTAAGCAACCTACGTTTTATCAAATAAAATTTTATTTTTTTTACGTAGATACCCGCGTTTTCTGTATCAAAAATGTTTTAAGCCGGTTTTGCTTACCGGTTTTTTAATGATTAAAATATATTTTTTATATTCTTTAAAATTCCGAATATCAAAATACCGGTACGGGCAGATTAATGATTTTTTTTAACAAAAAAAACACACACTTTACATAAAAATGTTTTTTGGTTAATTCAATTTAAAAACAATGTTAAAAACAATCAGCTACCCACCTGTTAAGATTTTTAAAGACTTTTTTATTACTTATAAATTCATTAGAATATCAATTTCAAATCAATTTGTATCAATTATTAAAAAACTAACAATACAAATCAGTGTTTAAAAATTTCACAGTTGTTTACAACAAAAACAGAGCATGCTAATTATAATATGTTTTGCATATACAGGATGGTCCGAAGTCCGAACTGTATTCCGGAAACTTTTGCAGAATATTTGCAGATAAAAACAAGTAAAAAGGTTCGTATAAATGTAAGTCCTAAAATGCTTAGTTTTGGAGATACAGGCTGTAGAAGTTTCATTTTTATTTCGATTTTTCCAAATAATTTCTGAAGTAACGTCAATATTTTGATTTGGATGAAAATTGGTGTCTGGAAGTTTTTTGATATGAGCAATTTGATTTTGTGCTTATATTTTTAATATTGTTCTTTTCACTTTTGTCAAGGACTTCAGTTGGACTTCAATCCGCTGCCACTGTAAAGAACTGCAGCGCTAAACACAGTAAAGCCCGAACAAAAATGTGATTTGTATGCCTGCTACTGTGACGTCGATTTTGTTCGATACAGCGGTATTTTAAAAATCAATTACATACCACATATTGCATTGGATAGCGCAAATTTTAAAATAATTGTTAATGAAAAAAGTACTGGCCTAAATTATAAAATCGCTTAAAAAGCATTAAACGATTTAACGATTTACATAAAATTTTTGTTAATCAATGAGTTTTGTACTTTTCCGACTCCAAAGACTTTCAAGTCTATGTCCGTTTCATATTCCTAAAAATATCATTTTCCTAAAAAATCCGCAACCAGTGGTGGATCCAGGGTGTATGGGCTAAGGGGTCTCAAGCCCTCCCTTTAGTTCAGTCAAGTAATACGATATTAAAAAATTATTTTGTCACAAACGATTCTGGAGTATGCCACCCCTTTCCCGAATCCTGGATCCGCCACTGTCCGCAACCCCTCTTTCCTAGTGAACGGTTAGCAATATTAGCAAAAATTTAGTGTCTACAATGTCTACTACATTATCTACCTACCGCCTGACATCATGATAGTAGTCCGCGAATCCGCGCCTAATATTTCAGTCTTGTATAGGGAGGTGTAAAAGTATCGATTTATTGAACTAGAGATATTTAAAAAAATTATCAGCAAGCGGGTTTTAGTAATTAAAACATTCTATCGCACAAAGAGTGCTTGATAACACATCCTTTTTTAATTGTACCTATTGATTACTTTATGTTAGCAAATCAAAACTTATTTGTTTCTCATTAGCATACCGCCTGATACCATACTACCACTCCGCCTAATATTTCTCTTGTATAGGGAGAAAATAAAAATATCAATTTATTAAAATATCGATATTTAAAAAATACTGATATATACGACAAAAACTATGATCAAGCTGGTTTAAGGTTGGAGATTTTTAATGATGATTATTACCTCATGTTAGACTCATATTAGCAAAACAAAATTTTTATGTATTTGTTTATTATTCAAACTCCTTAGCAACTTTTTTTTAACATTGTGGATTTTTACCTCGCTAAACCATACTACAGGGTGATACTTTTTAATCTCATCCGGTTTCTACCCGACCAAGTGAATGAGCAATGCGTTTCAATAAATATTACAATCTTTTCAACAGCACAAAGGAGATTTCCAGACGTCTACCAGTCCAAATATTAACGTTGTTTAACGTCGCTTAACTTTCTCAGTGTTTAATAAAGATTCCCAGTAGCACAGCAATATGGGTAAAATATTATATTTACATATTGACCCAACGATAGAAACCACGGATTTTTTTAATGGCCCGATATATATTTTTATATGAATCCGATATTAAAGATAGGGTTAAAAGTTAAAAGATGTCTATTCTATATAGAAAAATAGTATAATATATATTTTATAATATATTACCAATATTGTACCAATATTGGGTAAATCTATAGTAATATATAAAATCCTTAAGTGACTGATATACTGATTAATCACGCGATCCTGCTCAAACCACTCAACGTAAGAAGCTCAATTTTGGCATACAGGTTGATTCTAGGGTGTAGAGGTTCGATAAGAAGGGATTTTTTGAAATTCCAGTTCCAAGAGGGTGAAACCACCCCTCAAATATTACAATATTTTTTATTTAAAAAACGGTCAAGTTTCTGAAAGAACGCTTAAACACGTACATTTTATTTTCTTTTTTTACATATTTTAAGATTTTTTAAAAATGTATACAGGGTGTTTCGAAAAATCTGGTCAGATTAATCACGATCCTGCTTAAAGCGCTTGACGTAAAAAGCCGATTTTTGTAAAACAGATTGACTTAGTAGAGATTCGATAACAAGGGATTTTTCGAAACTCGAATTCTTAGGGGGTAAAACTATCCCTCAAATATTAAAATATTTTTTATTTAAAAACCGGTGAGTTTTTCGGAAAAACTCTTAAACACGTATATTTTATTTTGTTGTTTTACATATTTTAAGATTTTTTATAAATTTATACAGGGTGTTTCATAAAATATGACCATTGAGTAATCACGATTCTGCTTAAACTGCTTGACGTTTAAAGCTGATTTTTGGTAAACGGATTGACTGTGGGGTGTAGAGGTTCGATAAGAAGGGGTTTCTCGAATCTCAAATTCCAAGAGGGTGAAAACACCCCTCAAATATTACAATATTTTTTTATTTTTGTTTGCTACTGGGGGTTGTTATTCAATATATCCATGAAAACTGTTATATGGAAATAATGTACTTATATCGATATTTTATCGTAAAGTGTGTACATTCCTAGTTTCGGTGACAAACTGGGCAAACTTGCATTGAGCGTTCTGTCTCGGACCAGTTCGGCAATTTCCGTCTAGAAAGCTATATATACCCAGAAATCCAAAAGCCGACACCCGAGGCCGGCACAAATATCGTCTGGTGACGAACGGTTGGTTTCTGATTAGTGCAGTAAAGTTGTGTTGGATCGACTGAATTAAAGGACCCGTACGTAACCGCGTCGCGATTTAGGCACGCCTAATTTAGTAAGAAATAATCACCAGAAATAATGTGTTCAACTTAGTGATAAAACAGACTTTTAGATATTAACGGCTAATTCAAAAATCGTTCGGTTTTGATATCTATGATCGTATTATCCCAAAGTTAACTGGGAACTATCTGTCGCAACTGGAATTTAGTTCTATGATAAATCTGTGATTTGCCAGATTTCCACTGAATAACGTAATATAAACAGGATCGATAAAAAGGTAAGTCAAGTAAGCCAAAATTCCAAATTTTGTTTCGCTTGTCAAAATCGACACACCCCTGATAATAATCTGTTATTATTTTATTTTAAGCCGTAGTTCTGATGACCGTCAAAAAATTCATATAAATATAAACAAAACAGTTATTTATGATAGAGATATAAATGAAATCTAAAGTGCAGTTACACAAACTTCAGTATTTGAGAGGTTATGTTTATATTATATGCCAGACGTGCGTTGCCTGCCTACCGTGCCATCCTTTTCAATAAACCGGTCAGGTATCATTTTGCATTACTAAGGAAAGAAAGTACTTAACGTGAACTTACTGAAGAGTTTGCATTTGGCATACGAAATTTCTTTACCCTTTTTTGAAACTACCCGTAACTTTAACAAAATATTTAATACAATAGTCAGTGGCGGATACAGGAATTTATTTTAGGGGGGGCCAAATAAAAAATAATGTAGAATATGCTTTTTAGGGCGCCATTTTTAATCCAAAAGTCTATATTTAAACCAAATTATAAATTTCATGGGGGGAGGCGAGCCCCATGGCCCTCCCCTCTGTATCCGCAACTGGCAATAGTACTTCCTCAGGTGTTAGTCAGATACAGCTTCTATCAAATTTTGTACGACTGTCTTGTAATTACCTACTTAGGTAAATATCGTAGGTATGTTCGAGAAAAAAAAACGGCGTCTAAATTACCTTTGACGATCGGGGATGACATTACGATTTACCATATAATAATAACGAATCAAGCTACATCATAGTTAGCTTGGGAATGACGATCGATGACATTCCCGATATACTTAATTTTATATAAAATGACAACAATCTTTTTATTACCAGGCCAACTACAACGGCGTTTTTTTTTCTAACATAGTAGGTAGTAGGTACCGTATGATTGAAAAAAATATGGCTGGGAAATGACTATCAATGAAATTTCCCATATAAAATTACAACTATCTTCATTTCATAGCCATCGTTGACGCAGTTTTTTTTTTCGATCATACGGTATTTACGACAGCGAAACAAACTCAAAATTCGATAGGAGCTTATATCTGACAAATACTATTATTTGTAGTTGGAAATACTATTGTATTAAATATTTAATTAAAGTTAAGTCAAAGAAACAACAAGGTAAAAAAATTTCGTTTTCATATAAAAATTTTATTAACCTATAAAAGTCCATCGATCGTCACTTCTAAGGTAACTTTGACGCCGATTTTTTTTTTGATCATATGGTATTGGTTGTAGATGGAAATTGAATGTTCTGTAGTAAGAAAATATTTACTTACATATTAAATTAACCACCAAAATATACCTACCACCTACCTATAGTTTAATTTTTAATTGTTTAAAAATAAATGATATAAATTTTGATTGATAATAGAAATATAATTTTATATTGAAGATACACACATGCACAAAGATCAATAATCTTATACAAATGTTAATTCAAGAATATAAAATGTAAGTTGTTATTAACTGACCAACCTAAGATTGTTTATGTTAAGTCGATAATAATTAATAACACTTTCTGATATCGTCTAAAAATAATTCATTCAATTTCAACTGCCTTATTAAGGATATTTAAATCTTGTAGCTGTGATTGTTTTCATAAAAGATAACCTTCACACTGCAAAAATATAAAAAATATTCGCTTTTCGTAAATTATAGGTATTTTGGAAATAAAGTAATACTTACATACCTACCTATAATATTATTTTTTCTAAATAAAAAATATCAAATAATAGGTGTTTTAATTAGCAAGACATAACATTTTAATTAACATTTTCATTTCTAAATCTACCTACCTACCTGTTGTACTACAGAAATGCAGAATGATAAAAAAACAATTTCCATAAAAAAAGGCAACACATTTTCCCTTGTTTAGCAATTTTCTTTTATTATGTAAATTTGATTTACAGGATTTAATTGTACGATAAATATGTTTATTCCCGTGTTTGTGTCTGATATAATGTTTAAATAAGTGAAATTAAACGGTGTTAATTTATGTTCCTATACCTAAAATAAATTGTTTTTAAGTTATTTAAGATATAGTTTTAAAGGGTATATTTTTCTTGATTTTAACCAGTAAGTAACCTATGACTTGAAACGTCAAGTGATGTAAAACAATAGATATGGCCATGTCATATTGTGACACTTTGTTCAAAAAGCGGTATGTTCACCACCGACTAAACAACAAAGCGAACTAGTTTAGTCGGTGGTGGTATGTTATGTTATCGATCATCATTTCCAAGTTTGCGCTGTTTTTTTTTTCGATCATACCGTATATTTTTAATAATATTAGGTAGGTACCAGATATCACTAAAGAGCGAAAATAAGAGATATATTTTTATAAATACACTTTTAAACTCTTAAGGGTGGGGGGCAGCAGTATTGTAGGAAAGTAGGTATATTAGAATTGTAGGTATAATATAGGAAATTCAAATAATTCGTTTTCTGACAGATGGAAATAAATTGTCTGACTGTTTGGCACTTGATGTCAAAATGTTAAAATCAAGAAAAATATTTGTTAGTTTCAAACGAAATCTTAAATAACTTAAAAACGATTTATTTTATATATCGAGAAACTATGCTTACGCTCGTTGAATTTGACACTTTATATCAGGTTAATAATATATTGTCGTACTTTTATGCTTAGATGTAAAAGTGCTTTACTTTTATGCCTAGGCGATAAAATGACTTTTTAATATTGTCAGTCATGTCGAAAAAATTAATACTTTTGTGACGTTTGAAAAAAAAATCATTTTTACTCAGTATAAAAATAAATTCGCTTCTTAAGACCAACCGGCAGTAAGCGCCATTAAGAAATAAGATGAGTATAGGCTAAGTAAATGACGTCTAGGGCTTGACGTTGGCCAAAATAATCATCGATTCATATGATGTAATTTGAACTGAACTGATTAATAATAATAATAATAGTAAATATTTGGATCACGATCACACATCATGTCTGTTGAGGCATTGGTCCATAAGCTACTTTATTGAAAAAGTAATACCATTGACAATTTGGATAGTTTAATAATATTTTTCATTCATTCATCAACAATATAAAACGATTAATTTTTTTCTGAAACTAAAAACTTATATTTCGGATATAAATCATCTTTTCATTAAAAAAAATAAAAGGTACCTATACCTATCTATTTTATATACGTAATAAAATACTTGTTTTTAGTTTATGGTACGTCAATGGTATTATTGAAAAAAGAGGAACATAAAGACGTAACAAAATCCAGTGCATGTTTTCCTAAACTAATTTAAAAATCATTTAAGTGCCAAATTAAAGTTTTAAAGTAAATGACACTTTGCAATTAATACGACAGCAACGGAAAGTTCAAATTAATTTAATCATAAATGTTCCCTTTTTCGAAAAATTCACTAATGAAAGGAAAAATTATATACAGTTTAATGGGGTTTTGTTGTCTAAATAGTACGTCTTTGGTGTTTTTTTTTTCGTTTTTCCGTTGTTTAGAGTAGTTGTATGCACGCATTCATTACTCGATCGTAAAGTGAACGAACAGACGCCAGATTGTAGTAGGTGTGACATTGAACTGGTCAATTTTAATGTCGAAGTTAGTACTATAATCTGTTAGTGGTTTGTCTATTAATAACGTTGTTAAACATTGGCTAATAAACTTGTGATTTATTTCTGACGAAAAATATTTGCCAATAGGTTAAATCAATATATTATTAATAATACTTAAAAGAAACAGTTTTTTACAACAAGAAAAATTTTTCTACAAAAATAATAATAATAATAATTTTTGACAAGATTTTTTGTCAATTCTTAGTAAAAAAAACTTAAGTTTTCTGTGAACTTGCAGCTCTACTGGCAACCCTACGTAAATCAAGTTTCAAATATCAAAAATTGGAAAGGACTGACTGACAACTGACAATAACATTTACATTCCTTAAACTGTGATTAAGGTTACAGGGCGCGGGTTTTCACTGATATTTATAGCGTTGTCGGGTAGGTGTTTTATTAACCTATTTTTTTCTATGAACACCATCCCTTTTTTTTTATAAATAATTGTTTTCAGAAGTGAATGAAGTAGTAATCATAATAGGCAGGTACTTTTTTATTTATACCTATATTAAATTGTCCAAAAAATGTTTGAGGTAAATAGGAACTACAAATTAAAATGTCTAAGTATTAACAAATTAAGCAACTTATTATTAAATCTGTTTATAATAGTATAATTATTTTTATAATCATACCATGTAATTTTGACATTTAATCATTAATTATAAAAAATATGTTTTTTACTACTTTGAAAATATTTATGAAAAGAAATAATAATGATAATATCAGATAATAACATTAGACCAATCTGATTTGACTATAACTGATAAACAAGAACTTTAACTCTTTAAAAATTGTTTCCTTTAAGTAGTACCATCGCCTAGTTTTCATGCAAGAAATTCTGTTAATTCTTATAAGAAATAGGTACGCCTTAACTTACTATTTTATTTTAGCCTTCCCTTCATCAGTCCATCGACATTTTCTTTTTCTGCTAACTCGACATTGACATACTAAATTTGTCTTTCATTAACACATCCTAGAATTTGCCTTAAGTAACTATATATGAAAAATAATTACGTTTTTTCCGATGGTGAACCAGGTTTTCAAGTTGTTAGAATAATGAACTTTTAAGTTATAGAAAAATATTAACTTTAAACTTGGAAATAAAGAGTATGATCATTCTAGTGTTTTTTTTCGTCGTTAGAAATTATTTGGGAAAAAATCGAAATAAAAATGAAACTTCTACACCCTGTATCTCAGAAAGTAAGCATTTTACGACATACATGTATAATATGAACTTTTTTACTTATTTTTATATACATAATATGCTGCCGAAGTTTCCGAAATACAGTTCTGACCACCCTGTATAAGGTTTGCATTCAAATATATGTTGATAATGGTGTTTGGTAATGCAACTTTATACATAGTTACCTTTTATCACAGATAACAAAGAATTCTCTGTAATATAAATAGAACGAAAGTGGGGAGTGGGGTTCCCATTATAAAAATAACTTTTTATATTATTTTGAATCTATTTTTGATTACATTTTCATGAGCATAGTATTATTTTATTCAAGTAAAACACATCTAATAAATAATAATAGTATTAAAACTAAATATTTTATTTTTTCTATGTTTAATAATAATTTTACTAGAATCAACAAACATTAATGCTCTATTGCTTCTTTTATTACTTAATTAACTAATGTAATTAAACTGTTTTGTTAACTACTGTATTTACGAAGTTAAAATTGTTAATTAAAATTTTATGTTGGTAGTAGTGAAAAAAACAAAACTGAACTAATTCTGTTAAAACTGTTTTTTACTAAAAATCATTATTAATTAATTATTTTCAAGTCTGGAATCAAACCCACAAAACGAAAAAAAAAATAGAAATTTTTAAAAATAAAACCAGGAACGTTAAAAAATAATAATTAGGTATTTTAACTTCAAACTTTTATTATTAAGATTATGGAAGTAAATTTATAGTCTTGTTTGTTCACAAATATGATTAACCACAGAGTTTAGAAGAATAAAATTTAACAAAAGTTCTTTAAAAATTGATGATGACTGTTTTTTGCAATTCAAAAGCCAATTGATTTTTTTCATAATTAATTTTTATCTTTTTTTTCTTAATTGTTGTTTTTTAAATTTGTTTTTATGTGTTGTTTTTTATAGAAGTTACTCTTACTACTGATAATAATGTATGATAATGAAATAATTTTATACTTTAAAAAATTATGCAGTTTTAAAGACAATTATTTTTTTTAGTTGTTAATCGTTTACCATTTAATTTTTTTGGTAATAATTTTCGTTTGTTGAACTCGTTTTTAATGTGTTAATTTTTTTATAGATTACTACTGACATAATGAATAATTGCCAAAATAATTTTATAACTGAAAATAATATTAGAGTTTTTTCGAGTGTTTTTTTTAGCAATTTGTGACTACAGGTTACATAATGAATATACAGCTATTTAAAATAAACCGTCACAGTAGGCATAGAGCTGAGAGCTTATCAGTTCGAACTGAGTTATGTGGAATCAATGGCGATAAACTGATCATACCAAATAAATTTTTAGTCACGTGATTAAGTTTGGCCGACACAGCGTTGCCGACTTTAATTGAAATGGCTGTTAAGCTGCTGATGAAATGAAACCAAAGTAATCGACTGCAAGATCTGCTAGTAAAAAATGTTAGACTTAAAGTATCACAACACAATTCACTTAAACCAAAAACTCGTAAGACAGAACTAAAGTGTCAAAACGAATCAAAATGTTAGGATATAAATAAATGTGGCAACATTTTTTACAGCAAAGCAACCACCTGAATTGCCAGCGGGAAATTTAAATTCCAGTTTATCAGCCCAGCGCCGAATTTGTCCATGGTTGGCAACAATGCATTTAATAATTGCGCCCTCGATAACGTACCTAAAAGTTCATTTGGTGTCGCGTATATTAGGTACGTTTGTGTCATTTCCTAAAAAAAGTATAATTACTTTAATGCAACAACTGTTTGCTCCTCCAACAACAGTATTGCTCCTCCAATGGCTAAGACCGCCCTAGCTATTTGAAATATTAGGTAAAAACCATTTACATAGTTATTTTTATATCAAGTTAGGGGCTAATTGCGTTTTGTAGTTGTTTGCTCTATACATGTAGTTACCGAACTTTAATAGATGTTTTTTAAGGCTATATAAACAGAAAAAAAAATAAAACAACTATCAATTCGATTATGTTAGACACAACACCTTTGTATCTTGTCGCTGCCTAAATATTACGTCAAATCGTACCACCGTATTTTGTACATATTATATTACGATAAAGTGATATAGCATAGATAAAGTTACTTTTATTATTTACACAATATTACAATAAAAAAATCTTTATGAAAATGTTTTGTGATGGAGTGATTACGGTGTCACAGAATGTTTTGAAATCCCATTTCACTTAAGCCCTGTCTATCTATTACGTTTTACCTTATGTCTTATACAGTACGTGTGCGTATAGTCTGTTTCAAAAAGCCTGATATCACAGAGAGAAGAGCTGATGCCATAAAGCATCATAAACCATAGGCGCTACAACTTTTACAAATTCCATCAGCCGACTTTTTAATTTAATAAAATATATCCAACATAGCTCACAATCCCACAATAGATTTCTGTAGTTATTCTGTGGTATAATAGCTACCTCATCACTTTATGGTTATGTACCCCGCCAATTTATACCTGTAAAGATTACGTGCGTCCAGTAGCTCTGTGCCTTACGATGTTGATTTGCAAACATGGAGATATTTATTCCAAGGGAGATAAATGGTAATTCTTGATTTAAGAGGGAAAACTATATTTTTGAATGTTCATTATTTCTGTGTGCATCAAGATCCCTCGGCTACTGTTGGTAGTACTACGTACGTAAATGTTCAAATATTACGGGAGTTGGTGAAGCTACGATTTATAGACTTCGGAATTTTTTGCTTCAATTACTATGTATTTTGAGTATAATTATACCTAATTTGTTTCAACTATGTTTGTATAGTACCTACTCGATTTTTTTAAGTAATGTATTTGAAATACATTGTTGTGTATGTCTGATACATCATGCACAATGTTTTAATTGCATAATATGTATTTGAAGTATTACAAATGTATTTCAAGTATCGGCTAGTATACAAAGTAAAAGTAGGTATAGGTATATTACAGAAAAGCGTGTAAGTGTAGTTTGAAGTAGTTTTTTCATTGTGTGGTATTCATTTTTATTTTTCGACTTAAGGGTTTTATACGTTTATAGATTATGTATGTTGAGTATACTTGGGGTTCGACTATTTATTTCTAACCAGACTGAAATAAAATTTTAGTTCGAGATTTACTGTCTTCCGCTATGTTCCCTCTGGACAAACAGTGATAGTTGATCGTAAGTTATTTGAAGTCTTTGTTGAAAGTTAATAAATAGTTTCCAAAACAGAAATTAGGTAGCTATTTCAAAAATGTATTCAATGTTTTTGTGATATTCAAAATTCTGCTCACGCTGGCATTCTTCCGTATGCGATCTATTAACCTTTATTTTTAACAAGCTAGACTATTTGTTATGTTAATTTTGTATCAGTTAATTTTGTTTGGATGCTTCTTATCCGAAATAAGACTTTTAGGCATTTTGTTTCTTGTCCATGTATTGTTGCAAAAAAAGAAAGTGACATTTCGTTTTAATTATGCAATATAATATATGTATGACGAAAGATTAAAATTTTATATTATATGCGATTAATTCAGGTTTACATGCTGTGTTATGTAAAAAAATTAAAATTTTAACTTAAATTTTCTTTGGAAGTTTTCATATTTTGAGTTAATACAGTTTTTTGAATGGGATGTGCGAAATTAAATCTTTTATATGCGACTTTTCGAATATTTTTGCATAGTGTCAGAAATAATGTAATTTTAGAAAATTGTTTTTTGATTATTACCAAACGATACTATTTTCACAATTAACTTTGCGTGTTTACGAATGAAATTTAAACTAAAAATAACATTTTCTAGGAAAATTCCCAATTATTAAACTTCACTAAACACAATGGTGTAATTTATAAAACCGAAGGTAACACTTGATAGAGTATACTGACTGCGAAACGTAATGTGTAGACCGGGGCTAAAACGGACGACTTGTCTTGAGTCTGCCGTCAGTTTTTTACCTGACACGCAAAACTGACAGGTTAAATGTTAAGCGTAGGCGGGGCTTTACATACCATATAATATGTCAAATATCCTTTAAAAACGGTGGGCTCTTGATTTTTACTGATCTAATAAATACAGAATCTAAGACAATTATTTTCTATAGTGTTTAAAAAATTAATTTATATTTATACCGGGTGTTTTTCAAAAGTGGTTACTTACACCCCTACCTGTACACTTTTGAAAACCACCCGGTGTATTGTTGGTTAAGAAGAAAAGCTAATTTTTTTAGAACATTCTTGACTGAATTTTTTCGAGTCGCGTATTTCTTTTTATGTTAATTATGAATTGCTGACGTAAGAATATTAAGTTTATACCGCATTTGAATGAATAAATTTGATAATTTGTCCGATTCGAACTTTGTTTGTTGACGAAAATGCGAAAATTTAAATATGGGGAAGATTTTGTGACCGCCAAAAAGATTCCCAAAATATAGGCATTTGCATAATTTTAAAGGATTATTAGCATTTATTTATTTTTATTTTTCTTTGTTAACTAGAAACAATATGATAATCCTACAGCGTTCATTTGATACAGTTACACCACATAATATAAATATATAATATATAAGATCTAGATGAAAATTGGTTATGTATCCCTACTATGTATCTCCTCCATTTTTTTTTCTACGAGTTTCCTGGTTTTTTATTTATAGTTAATTTTTTAATACAATTTTGTGGTGATTTTTAATATGTATTAAATTATTACATATTAAGTTTATTAACCACAGTATTTCCCTGAATTATATTTACCTCATCAAAGTGACCTAATTAGTTAATTTAATACAGATAGTCAATAATTATTATATGAATCAAAATATAAATATTGTTTTTTTTATAAGTAAATGTATATTTTTTTTTACAGGATAAAAATGGCACAACTAGTCACAAGTGTGATAGACAAATATCACGATATATTACAAAATAAAAGTGGTAAGTAATGCATTATATATTAACATATCGTACGTTCAAAAAAGTCGTCAGAGTTCGCTTGCAATAATTGAAGATCGTTGTTATTTTATATGGTGAATGTCAAAGATCGTTATTTTCAAACTAACCTGACTTTCTTTTGATCATACGGTACATAATATTCATAATAGAATTTTAAGTTAATTCGTAGCAATATGAGTTAATGGTATGCTTAAAAATTAAAATCGACACATGTAAAAAGTAAAAAGAACTTTTTGGAAGAATTAAATTGCTATATCTGCTAATCTGCTGTCTATTCATAATGTATCTACATATTTTCTGAATTGCCAAGATGAGACATAATTACCCTTTTTCTAAAAACTCTAAGTTTTTATTAAAATTTTAAATGATTCATGTTTGATAAGAGTCGGTTTAAGTACATCTACTATAACGTACTACTAATCCCATCTGTTATGATTAAACAATAGAGAATGTAGATAAACATTACGTAATTATTATAACTGGAACTGAAAATAAGAATAATATATAAATTTCTAAAGTTTCCTGAGAATCTGAATTATCAAAAAAAACTAGGTTGTTTTATTTTCGATCATACGCAATGTCGATGGGAGAAAAGATTTTACGATTTTAGGACATCCTGTATACTGTATAGATGAATTATTCTATAACGAATTGTAGGTATTTGCCGTATAACTTTCTTTTTTATAATAGTTTGAGTAAGAAGAATATGGAGACGAATATGAGTAAGAAGGATATGGAAGACTGAGCTGGTTTATTTTAACAATTATCGCTATGCTGAAATTATTTAATTATATGGAACGTAAATAACTGAAAAACGGAATCGTACATATAATTATTAATTAAGGAAATCATTATAAATTTATTTATTTTCGTTGAAAATTTGAAGGACGAAACTTTTAAATACCAGATGCCAAAATATAGGAAACGATACTGGAATCGTTGATAGAATCATGCGTATACCTAGTTGTGATTTCAGTTCGTTTTAATCCACTTTTATAGAAAGCTTAGCTATAAATAAAATACTTGAACGAGATTAACTATAAGTGAGTAATTTTGAAGCTAATATTGCTGTATACACTGGCTGGAATACTCGTATCAACTTAAAACAATATAATGACAATGACAGTTGTCTGTCATTTCAATTAAATCTATTTTTTCGATGTTGTCTGTCAAAACCGTTTCTTGTCTTGATAGACAGACTTTATACTATTATAATATACAGGATCGTTTTAACGAGAGGAAACACTTTTTTACTATTAACCTTTTGAAAAAAAATGCATTCTTCAAAAAAGTTTATGCTCCTTCTAAAATGATTAATCCTGATAAGGAACAACACAGCGCAAGCTGCGCTAGAAGTAATTCTGGACTTCAAGCTGCAATCAATCGACTGGCTCGGGAAGGATCTGGCCGCTAAGGGTGTCCTAAGATTAAGGAAATCCAATCTGTGGAAACAGACGATCATTCGAGAATATTTGCCAATGATAGGGAAAATTATGGCTAACTCGAGTCCACATCTGCTAGATTAGAAAACGGGCTATTTGCTCACCAAACATGATTATGGAGAAAATATGAGGATTCGCATCCCGACAAGAGAAGAATGGGAAAGCAACCGAGTAATAAAAACTCCAGAGATAACAGTCTATGACGCTTCGTTGACTTCAGAAGACACAGGTATGAGCATCTTCTCAGAGAAACTAGACATCCGACGATCTTTAAGATTATCGGTTGGCTGTAATGGTCTGCAAGCATCAGAGGTTTACGCTATAAAGGAAGCGGGCAGTTGCACATAAGGTGTGAATTCGTTTGAATTTATTTGTTAAATAATTACTTTAATGAATGACGATCCTTATGTATATTGACCCAGTATTGTTTTGATTAATAGTACAAACGAACCAGTCTTTTTTTAATGAGTATCTGCGGTCAGGATGTCTTTAAATTAAGCATAAATATTTATTTAAATGTGCGAATTCTTGTGCATCTTGTGGTTTTTTTAAGCTTACCTTTCTGTTAAATTAATTTTGTAACTAATTTTACTATGTAATTATTTGTAAAGACATTTCTATTATTTGTAAAGCCATCTTTTGACTTGCGTCTGAAGTGGAAACTTGTTTTCTTTGCTTAAGTAATTACTTGGAAATGGTGATGTTCAGAGCAAGTTCCAACGGTTCTACGTGCAATTTGGCTCCTGTTATAATGTATTCAATGACGACTATAATCGTCTGCAGATAAAACTATTTTGTTGTAAACATAGTTAATTGAAATGTTTACGAGCGACAATTGTTCCAGTTTGATTACGACGATCATCTACAATGCGATCAAAAAGTTTTAAGATCGGGAGCCTAAAGACCACCATACACTTCAGTTATTTTGCACGGTTTTAACCGAACGGTAAGAACTAAAAATACATTTAAAAACGTCAGTGTATGCCAGTGTTCCATATTTAATATATAAAATTCTCGTATCATAGTTTCCATCTCTGATGATATCATAAGATGAATCAACATTTCAACATATTAGTTACTGATTTATCGTATTGTTTTATTTAGGACTCATCATCCCCCGTCATTCCGAACTTCTCTCACTTGTTCAAGGTCACTTAACACAAAAGTTTTGTTTATTTCGTCCTGTGTTGTTACACTGCCATGCTTAAATAATCTTGGCCACGATTAAAGTAAAACTTTCTTCTTGACGGAACAGTTCGCATCGAGAAATGTTACATAAGAATTGCGCTTGTTTATGTACCTTCGATCATAGGCGTGCGTGGATTTTAGCGAGATTGGTAAAAGTAAATACTGAGAACCATTTAGAATAATAATCTTACTTACCAATTGAATTGTTTCTTTTTACGTCGTTCTTTATTTATAATGATTTTTTTTTAATTTAGTATTAATATATTTTGGCGAAGAAAATATAGCATAGTCATGTTTGATTTTGTAACAGTTTTATTAGTAATGTGTTTTTGCTTTATTTAGTGGTATACTTTAGAAAGTACGTGGAATTTCTATCACTTAGTTATTTACATAAGATGTGACATTTATTTTAGTTGTGAATATAAATTTCTATACGTTTATTTCAAAAAGAATCTTATAATATCCAAATATAAGTTTGTTTTGTCAAGACATTTTGGAGAACAAGAATCTGTCTCGTAATCTTGATTTTTTAACTTAAACAACTCGAGTCGAACATAGTACGAGTGTATATCGGCTCCGTTAAAATTCGCATTTTAGTCGGAATAAACTGTATAAAACGCATTGAATCGGGTATCTACTTAAACGGAAAAATCAGTGTAATCAGTTTGACATAGATACTTTTCTTAATTTGTGATAGTAATAAAATAATTTGGTTGAAATCAATTTGCCAAATTTTACTCTCCACCGGAAAAAAACGGACGCCGGTAAAAAAACACTAGAGATAACTTCGTCAACAACAACGATAAAACCACGGAGAGTTTTCGACTTTCGGCAAGTGTATACCTTAATTGAACCATCAATATGCCACCAAACAAACTACTTTGTGTCTGCTGCAATTCAACATTTGATAAACAGTTTGTTGTGTCTTGTACAGTCTGTCATAAAACATATCGTAATACATGTGTTAAATTATTACGAATAGTGAACTACGAATAGTAAACATGGGTGCAAAGGATACGACTGGTCTTGCACACAATGTCGTAATATCAAGTGCGATATGAATGATTTAAAGAGTCTTATTGTACAGCTGCAGGAGGAAGTTAGAACTTTGAGAACATCTCAATCCCAGCACATAAATATAGACCCCGATCATATAATAGAGGAAGTTGTTGTAGAGGTAAATCAGCGCAGTCTCCGTAGAAAGAATCTTGTCATACATGGTATTTTGGAATCTGATAATGGTCTTGATGTTTCAGTCAAAAGGGAGAATGATAAGAAAGCTGTTCAGAGTGTGTTGAATTTGCTAGACAATAGCATTGATTCTAGTGACATTAAACCTATACGGCTGGGAAAATTTTCAAATGGACGTAATAGGTTGATTAAAATTTCGTTAAGAGACGAGGACCAGGTGCATAATGCAATTAAGAGTGCACACAAACTTAAAGGCACTGATATATATAAAAAAGTCTTTGTGTCCTTTGATCGTACACCGCTGCAATTAAGACTTTATAAAGAACTAAAAGAAGATCTTATAAAACGCCAGAACGAGGGAATTGCTTGTAAAATAAAGTTCTTCAACGGTACGCCGAAGATTGTTGAAAATGATAATTTAAACTAAATGTGCCCAATCGGTCATCATCGGAATTTACAAATTACTGCTCTTTAAATTACCAAAATGTGCGGGGTTTAAATACTAAAGTGGCGGAGTTTTGTGCATCGGTGTCGCAAGAGGAATTTGACATAGTTGTATTAACCGAGACGTGGCTTAAGGAAGAAGTTAATAGTAGCGAATTATTTCCAAATTCATACCACGTCTATCGCTCGGATAGAAAGTTCGCACAGTCCGGCACATCAAGGGGTGGAGGTGTTCTTTTAGCCTGTAAGTCTAGCATTAGATCTGAAAGACTTAACTTAAGTAATTTTGATGTTTTTCCTTCTGTCGATATTGTGGGATGCAGACTTGTTGTTGATCGTGCTACTTTCTGTATACTTGCTTTGTATATACCTCCTAATATGCCAATTAATTTATATTCGGAACTATTTCAAGAAATGTATAGTTTAGAAGTTCTTTTAAGTGAAAAATTTTTGGTGTTGGGCGATTATAACATGCCTGTTTTCTTGATGTTAATAATTTTAGCGCCAAAAACAGTTGGTGACTGAGTTTCAGTCATTTTACAATCTGAAGCAATGCAACTCTGTCTGTAATTCTTTGAACCGCATACTGGATCTTGTTTTCTCGAATTTTGACTGTGTAATTGTGCGCGATAATAATCCCCTTGTTGCTGAAGATCTTTATCATCCAGCTCTTCACATCACTTTCGGAAGTAGATATTAAATCTAAAAATTTGTTCA